GCTCAAAATTATTTTCCAATATCTTCAAAATACATATTCAATTCGATAATTTTTGGCTTTCATCACGTTTATTGTATTTTAGTTCGAGTTGCATTTTCAATTCTTTACGCACATATACACATGTATGTATGTACATCAACACTAACACATCACGGAGTTTGATTCTAACCTCACTTGTTATTAACTTGATTGGCAATTTTGAGTTCACTTTAAATTTTCATCCACAAAATCACTATTCGCGTGCGGCATACAATATTGGACAAATAAGAAGTCTCTTCGGAATAAGTAGACTAATAGCTCAATTACAATTGAGAGTTGGGTGGCGAGCTTTCTTAGATTCTGCAATCATAAGAAAAAAGTAAAATATATATATATACTTACAAATACATACATACGTATAACCTTTAAAACATACATACATATATATATTATCACAAATAAAAGAATATATCTTGATACGTGTGAAGGTACACTAGAAATTCTTGTATTAAAATCTGGGATTGTGGTGGTCTCTAGGAATTTTTCTCAAGTGAAGTCGTACTTGAATCTTGGTCTTCAGTGGTTTTTCTGTACTAAATAATACCTGCCAGTTTGCAAAATTTTTGTTCCGATAAACAAAATGGATAAATTCATAAAATTAACTGATGCTGTGGCAGAATTTGAGGCCGACTATAATGACACGGCCCAAATTGACCACACAAAATATACCCTCACTCTTCAGCAAGAGGAACTTAAGGCAATATGGAGAAAGGTAAAAACTGCTTACGAAGAATTAGTGCATTCCGACACGTTAGACGCTAAAGGAGTCTCTACGGTTAAACCTAGGTATAAGAGCTCCTATTCTGTTTATTTGCGCTGCATGTCGAACATGTCAGATTTCCAGGCAAAGTTAGTCAAGGGCGAAAAAGATACAGAGGGCGTGTCTGTCCAGGAACACAATATACATCTGCCCCCGTGCGATACGGACGTGTTCAAAGGCGACTACCTCTCTTGGCCAACATTCCGAGACATGTTTACGGCCATATATATACTGAATAAGCGCCTTACCCCGGTTGAGAAATTATTCCACCTCAACCAAAAAACACAGGGGGAGGCCAAAGATATCGTACAAAAATGCCCACTTACTAACGAGGGATTTGCCACTGCATGGAAAAATTTAACTGATAGGTACGAGAACAAACGTATTCTCGTAAACTCCCAGTTACAAATTCTTTTTAATTTAAAGTCGGTAGAAAACGAGTGCGGAATCTCGATTAAGAAACTACAGCGAGATATAAATAATTGCATCTCATCATTAAAAAGCCATAAAATTGACATATCAAACTGGGATGCAATATTTACTTATCTCTGCTCAACGAAGTTGCCAGAAAGTACCTTAGCATTGTGGGAACAAACGATCGAGAACAAGACGGAAATATCCAAGTGGGAGGATATGGACAAATTTCTGTCCAACCGATTCCAAACTCTTGAAACCGTCTCGGGCATAACAGGTATTAAACATACCAAAATCCCAAAGCCCCATAATAGTAGGCATACAAATGAGACACCGCAAAAAAGACTTGGCGCATTTCAAGCTTCTGTAGCCAAAACCATGTGTGTATTCTGCAAAAGCAGTAACCACAAATTATCGAAATGCCACAAATTTCTCGAACTCACGGTGTCAAACAGAATAGCCTTCATTAAGGAGAATCGTGGCTGCTTGAACTGCTTATCTTTTGGACATACTGTGTCAAGGTGTACGTGCTCATTTAACTGCAGCACCTGTCACCAAAGGCACCACACGCTCCTGCATAATCAAGCAGCTCAGCCAAAAGCAGCCATGAACCAAAGGCAACAACCAAATTTTTCAGATGACACGCCGTCAACTTCTGCGCAAGCCCAGGCCAGACGCAACTCTGAAAAAGGAAATAGGAGTCCGGTTAATAACGTTAAGTCCTGTTTTGCCAACACGAACAAGGGAGTCCTATTAGGAACGGCACGTGTCAATATCTTCTTCAATAATACTAATTTTTCAGCCCGTGCACTAATAGACTCCGGTTCGGAATGTTCATTCATATCAGAAAGACTTAAACGCCGAATTAACCTACCATCCAAAAGTTTGAATGCTCAGGTGTCAGGCATCAACAACACCGTTTCAGCCCAAGTCAAAGAAGCGTGTTTAATACAGTTGCGGTCACCGATTGACCCTTTAATAAAAATAGATACCACTGTCCTGGTTCTACCACAGCTTACAGGAAATCTGCCGACTTGCCAGATCAATGCTATGACAAAGCAAGCGTTTCCGGATTTAGTATTAGCTGACAAGAGATTCTTCATAAATGAGCAAGTTGATCTTGTACTAGGCGGCGATATTTACGCCCAAATAATATTGAGTGGCATACAGAAGAACGTTTTAGGTACCCTGCTTGCGCAAGAGACTGTATTCGGCTGGATACTAACCGGTCAAACTGAGGCAACAGGGCCAACGAATAAATGCGTTTCATTCTTCAACGAAGTCACTCTAGACAAACAATTAGCGTCTTTTTGGGAATTAGAGGACATCCCAAAGAACCATACATACACCAGAGAGGAAGTTTACTGCGAGGACCTATACAAACGCACAACTAAAAGGAACAAAGATGGAAAATATACAGTATCGTTGCCATTCAAAATGGATTTTCCAGGGAGCGTGCGGTTAGGACCCTCTCTCAAGAGCGCTTGCTCTCAATTTTTTCGCAATGAAACGCGTCTAGCAAAGGACCCACTCCTACAAACGGAGTATAATAGGGTACTGTCCGAGTACGAAACTTTAGGACATATGACGCGAATTTCCAGCCATATTCAAGCTGATGAGTGTGAAAATTATTTTTTACCTCATCATGCCGTCCGGAAGGAAGAAAGCACCACCACCAAAGTACGGGTGGTGTTCAATGCGTCGTGTCCGACAGCTAATGGGGTGAGTCTCAATGATGTGCTTCATCCTGGTCCAGTACTGCAAAATGACCTCACCATCTTAATACTTCGGTGGAGATTTTATAAATATGTTTTTAATAGCGACATCGAAAAGATGTATCGCCAGATTTTACTTAATCCTACCGATAGCAAGTATCAACGAATAGTTTTCCGCACAAGCCCAACAGAACCAATTAGTCTTTTTGAACTTAATACGGTGACTTTCGGGGTCAATTGCGCCCCTTACCTCGCGATTAGAACCCTGCTCCAATTAGCTGACGATGTAGAACAGTCACACCCCATGGCGTCGGACATATTAAGAAATTACATGTATGTTGACGATGTTTTAGCTGGCGGTCACTCCATCGAAGCTGCTATCAAGGCGAAAACCGAAATAACAAGTGCATTGCAGTCTGCTGGGTTCCCCTTGAGGAAATGGACGTCCAATTGCAATGAAATATTAAAGGGAATACCAAAATCCCATCTACTGAAAGAAGACTTCTTGGACTTTGAAGACACTAGCACAGTCAAAGCTTTGGGTATCAGGTGGAATGCCCACTCTGACAATTTTTACTTTACAGCCAAGCCAATAGAGGAACAGGTTAGCTATTCTAAAAGGCAAATACTATCGGCTATTGCCAAATTATTCGACCCTCTAGGATGGCTTGCACCAGTGGTAATTACTGCGAAAATTTTAATGCAGAATATCTGGTTGGAAGGAACAGGGTGGGACGAAATCGTGTCACCTACGACTCTAGACCGCTGGAAAAATTTTAGGGAAAGCTACGACAGTATCGAAAGGATTCGTATTCCACGTTGGGTACACTTTTCCCCTGTGGCCGAGATCGAAATTCACGGATTTTGCGACGCCTCAGAGAAGGCTTACGCAGCATCTATTTACTTGCGTGTCGAAATAAGCAGCAAAGTGTTCATCAACCTGCTACTATCAAAAACTAGGGTAGCACCAGTTAAGACAATTTCCTTACCACGCCTAGAACTCTGTGGAGCGGTCCTGTTGGCAGAAACCCTGGAATCGATTTCGGATAATCTGAACTTAGCCCATCGTACAACTCAGATGTGGACGGATTCCACCATCGTGCTTGCCTGGATACGCAAGCCTCCATGCTCATGGTCGACATTTGTAGCCCATCGAGTGACCAAAATAATTGAGAAGGTGGGAGGAGAAAACTGGCGTCATGTGGACTCAACGTCAAACCCCTCAGATTTAGCCAGCAGAGGACTTACGGCGCAAGAATTAATAAACAATTCCCTGTGGTGGGAGGGCCCTTCTTGGCTTCAAGAAGACCACTCAAAATGGCCCACTCAAGGAAAGGACTATAACACAACCGTTGAAGAAAAAAGGGTACAAGTTCATATAACAACAATGGATAGTAAGACTGATATTCTTGATAGGTTTTCTGAATTTCCAAGAGCTTTGAGAGTGCTATCATACGTAATGAGATTCTCCCAAAGAACCCGTCCAAATACCAAAGCTTCATTTCAAGCGAAATCTTGTTTAATTTCAGCTGATGAAATTAAAGCAACGACCCAACGCTTAGTACTAGTTTGCCAGAAGCAGCATTATGGTGAGGAATATTCAGCATTAGTATCAGGAAAATCAGTAGGTTCTAAAAGTGAAGTATTGCCCCTTACCCCATTCATCGACAAAGACGGTATAATGAGAACAGGTGGACGGCTGGGAGCATCTCGTGATCTCGCCTACAACGAGCGTCACCCAATCATCCTGCCTTATAATTGCACCTTGTCCCGTCTCATAGTTCAGTTTATTCACAAAGTTTCCCTGCATGGTGAGAATCAGCTCATGCTGCGCTTGATCCGAACACAGTACTGGATACCTAGGGTCAAAAACTTGATTAGGTCCACAATTCATAACTGTAAGGCTTGCACGATTTATCGCAAACGCGCGCAAACTCAGTTAATGGGAATTCTTCCCAAGGAAAGAACGACATTTTCGCGAGCGTTTACAAATGCGGGAGTCGACTTCGCAGGGCCATTTGACATTAAAAGTTATAGTGGCCGAGGTTGTCGCATGTCAAAAGGATATGTCTGCCTATTTGTATGCTTCGCAACAAAGGCAATCCATTTGGAAGCCACTTCGGACTTGAGCACTCCGTCGTTTTTAGCAGCATTTGCCAGGTTCATCGCACGACGAGGCTGTCCAAAAAATATCTATTCCGACAACGGCACCAATTTTGTGGGAGCTTCTAGAGCTCTGAGAGCCGAAACAAAAGCCTTTTTAAAAGACGCCCGCGATAACACTTTGGCGAAATACGCTCACCAAATGCTTTCGTGGCACTTCATTCCCGCTTCAGCTCCCCACATGGGCGGACTGTGGGAAGCGGGAGTTAAAAGTTTTAAAAGCCACTTTACGAAAATTGCTTCCCAACACAAATACACGTTTGAGGAATTTACAACCCTATTATGCAGAGTTGAATCCTGTCTCAACTCTCGACCCCTGAGTCCCTCATCAAATCAACCAGGAGACCTGGAGCCACTGACTCCAGGCCACTTCTTAATCGGTGGACACATACTAGCTCCACCAGAAATAGACGCTGATGAAAATCGTGCCTCGATTGTAAATCGATGGCAGAGGCTCAAGGCTCTACACCACACGTTTTGCAAACGGTGGAAAAGTGAATATCTCACGGAATTGCAGAAACGCAACAAATGGAGATATCCGCAAGCCAATATGAAAATTGGAGACCTCGTGATCATCAGAGAAGATAACCTGCCGCCAAACGAATGGAGACTCGGAAGGGTAGTTAACGTCCATCTAGGTGCAGACAATAGGGCAAGAGTAGTGGACCTCATGACTGAAAGAGGACAGGTTACTAGACCTGTAGTCAAGCTGGTGCTACTACCCCCCTGTGATCAACAACACAGCGAATCGCAACCAAGTAACGACTCCATTTCGTAAAAGCCTAACTTATTCCACAACCACAATTCGCAACATAATACAGTCCACTTTATCATACGAATATAAATCATTACTGCGAGATGCTCAACAAACTATATGAATCGATTTCGTTTTGTTGATGCGCAAAAATAACTTATCAAAATAATTTCGTTTCTTTTCGTTAAAAACAAGAATAGAATTATTTTGATAATTACCTAAATGATAAGAAACAGAATTGTTTCAACAGAAACGATTGGTTTATTTTGGTAAAATAATTAACGTTACAATGCATACGTGCTTTTGATATGTATACACATACACACGTACCCCAGGAAATCATTATAAACGAATGGAGTTTGCGCGAACATAATATACTACGTCCGCCAAATTCAAAAAAAATATTCAAGATTCCTTTAATTTTATTTAAAGTATATCTTATTAGAAGCTTTCGGATAAAAAGGTTGGGAGGAGCGGTAAGTTGCCTACATGTTTTTATTCCTTCTAACCTTGCGGAATTAATACAATTGTGTCGCAATCTTTATATCGAAGAATTGCCTACATAATATGTATATGGGCTGCATGAATTCATTCAAACTTCAAGCCAAACAGAGTACAGTACATTTGAATATTTTACTTCACTTACAAAATACTCAGCGTTTGGAATTTTGTAAGTTATGAATATACATTTTGTTTTAAATTGTCTACCTTTAAATAGAAGAATGTGACTGAATGAATGGAAAACATTTAAATCATTCAAACTCATTTCGGCACACAAGTTTTCTCGTATGTAATAGGAGCGCAGCAATACATACATACATACATATGTATGTTTGTACATATGTACGAAGAAAAGATATTTCTGGATATTCATACAAAGAGTTGACATTTATATCAATTCAATTTATTTTCACCTTGTCGACACATAGATCTGAGCAGCTGTTCACTCATATGTATGTTTGTACATATGTACGAAGAAAAAAATATTTCTGGATATTCATACAAGGAGTTGACATTTATATCAATTCAACTTATTTTCACTTTGTCGACACATATATCTGAACAGCTGTTCACTCAGATTGAAAAAAAAAAAAAAATAAAAATTTTAAGCTAAAATTATTCATTCGTTTGTATATGAATAATTCATACGCCGTTTGAATGCATTCATGCAGCGCTCTCCTACATATCACCGCAAGGGGTGGTTATGGACTTTCGTCATTACGCCCGATTTACATGATTCAGATACTTTGTGTTTTCTATTTGCTTTTACACGTTTCAATTCTGTTGAAGTCAAGTTTGGTTCGTTAAATGGGAAGCAACGAAAATGCCAAAAGCAAAGCAAGAAAGTTTAAACGACTTGACGGTACAGACGCATGTGTACTCGTCCCTTTTGTTCTCACCCCCTCTCTTCCACATGCGAGCAGAATGGAATTCAATACTTGAACTGTGTAAAAGCAGTATAATAATAAAAAGGTTATAGTACTCACCATATTCCGGGGAAAATTACCAGACAAATTAAGTTGGCAGAAGACGTAGTTTGTGCCACTTGACCAAATATGCAACCAGGGGTTTGTTGTGAAAAAACATTTTGCTGTACAAAAACTGATTGCGCCTCCTGTTTGTTGCTCTGGTACATGCCAAAATTCGGCGGAGTTTGCATTTGTTGAGATCGCGTGGATTGGGTAAAAACGTTTCCCCCATTTGTTATTTGCTGCTTCTGAATACTTAGGTTAAATAAACTACCACCTGCGTTCTGTTGAGCTTGGGAAGAACACAAACCTACGATGGACGAAGGTTTAATTTGATGCTGCTGTAATAATGATTGGCTGAACAAACCTCCGGTCCCTTGCTGCGCGCGCCCAAAACGTCCAACAGTAACATCAGTACTTGTCAGCGTTTGACCAAATAGATTTTGTGGGGCGCCTCCTCCGAATATGGAACTAGCATTTGGAAGCTGTTGAGAAAAAACTGAAGACTGCTGATTTTGAAAATTAAAAGCTGACCTACCTCCACCAAGGATTCCTCCAGGAGTCGAAGGTGCCATTCCGCCAAATACGCATCCGGCATTGGTAGTATGACCATGATCGTTAAAAGCATCACCAAAATTTTTATTACTGCTGGATGTAGCGCCAGGTTTTTTTTTAAATATCAATGCTGTGTCACTGGCAACGCTAATTTCAAGGCCAAATGGATTAGTTTTATTACTTTTAGTCAAACCCACATTTGTGGCGGCTTCTGAAGTTGCATCATACAATCGGCATATAATATCTACTACATGGGGTGATATCTGCGCCATTGTTTTCATTTTATTATTAGCTTCAATGGCTTCTTTGGCGAATTGTTTAACGAACTGATCGAAACAGTTTTTTTTTTAGCTTCATAACATATCCATCGTATTTCGTCAAAGGACTGATCTTCTATAAAATTTGGAACACAAGGTTTATCTGTGCGATACAGATCCTGCAAGACTTCAAATTCGCACAATCGATACAGAAGTTTTGGCCAAATGCATGTGATTTGTCGTGCGCGATTTTGCAACCACTTTTAGCTAAATCCAGCATCATCTGAAATGGAAACGAAAAGATATTAGTAAGATAATAGGGTTTACATAAAAGATTCATATTATATTAATTCATATTTCACGATACTTAATGGTTGGCTTTTTCCGAGAGGAATTTGTGCTGCGAGTATCGCCTGCATACCCGAAGTTCCCAAGAGCCACGCACTTCCATTCATCATACTAAAATTCCTCATTCATCCTTCAGGCGAACTCGATTACGAGTTGTAAATGTGCCGTACTTGGATGAATGAGGGTTTTGGGTGGAATATCTCCAAGGAAAGCTAAAAGTAGAAGGTAAAAAATATCACATTAAATACTATGACAAAAATACGCAACTTACCGCATCATAATCACTCGGGCCATTCAGGAAATTGTGATATGTGCTGCAATTGCCCTCAATGAAAGTGTCATTTTTTAAAAAATAGTGATGTGCAGAGTTGCCCAATACTCGGTACCCAAAGTTTCGGTATTGGTAACCGATACCGATGCAATGCAATATACCTTAGTAGTAATATAAGTACACTTAAATCACCTGTCGCACAATTTCGGGTCCATTTTGTTTTTTTTGCAGAAGAATAATAAAGGTTCACATAAAAATGAAGCGTTCTCTGAAATTTCGACAACGAATGACTTTCAGTTATTTAATTTTTGTTCTGTACCCCCTGAAGGCGCTGTGGACTCCGTACTCACAAAGAATTCCGTGCATAGCCCCTTAAAAAAAAAAAAAATAATAATAATAATATATATATATATATATATATATATATATATATATATATATATATATAGGTATACATATTCATTTATTTATTCCAGTTGGAATTTGTAAGACATCGCCTCAAAGTTCGTTAATGAGCTTTATCTCAAAAAAAATTGCTTCCATACGTTTGGCTGTCGTTTTTGTTAGAAGTTGTATAATAGTCCGACACCGAGTGTCGAAAGTATTGGATACTTTTAAATAGGTACCGAGTAGGTATGAGTACTCATATGTGTGGACTCAGCACATCTCTAATACAAGAACGTAAATTTCAATTTACGCTCTTAGTTGACAGCGCAGCCAGGGTTCGGACTCCCCTACGATCGGTAAACTGAAAATCTACTACGCAACTCGATACCGGCGAACTACTTAGATTTGTTCGGGACAAAGCAAAGCGTATTAAATGTGCTTTTCTTTTTTAATAAAATCATGAGTTATTAAATTTTGAAGGGCCCTCCAACTTAGTAATTTTCAAATAAAGTATTAAGTTGTGATACTCCCAAGCACATATATAAACACCGGTGTACGAAAATAAACTATAATGCACATTACTCTTTCATTTTGTTTATTCCTTCAAGAGTTCGTTGCAATACGAAAACAAAACGGCTGAGTTTACTTTGCGATAGTACACTACAGTAGTTTAGTAGTTACAGACGAAACAACAAACGAAATGAATTGTGCAGAGAAAAAGATATGTATGTATGTAGTACATGTCTTTGAATTAAATTGAATATGAAAATTTACGAAAAAAAGAAATATATTTTTTTTCACGTAATCGAAACGTTTACATACATATAAAACGTATGG